GTTCAGACCATTTCAGGTTCGTCGTGGTGGTGGGCTATGACGGTGCAACAACGTGGGTGGCTATGGCCTGGTAACCCCTCTACCACCCACACTGTTTCTGCCACCCTTGCTAAAATTGTGACCCACACCAGCTGACGAAAATTTTGGGCAGCTCATGGTGCTAATAAATCTTATGCAGGTTTATGGGTTCGTGGTGGCGTTAAGACGAAGATGATGGCTCAAGTTGGGTATCCCTTACGACCCCACCCTCTGTGTGTTGTCTAGGCTACAGTTGGCGTCGTACGTGCCTTTGCCTCTATGCCTCCTACCAATTCTGCACTTTCTTCTCGTGGACATGTCATGAAGCCGCATATTATACGATATTTTTACTAAATAGATATCCGTGTTATTAACCAAGTAAGAATGATAAGGGGCACACAATGTCGTTGCATAAGGCACCTCGAGGTGCTGCCGAGGAACTGGAGTCGAGCACAAGATGAGAGAATACATTTCTATGAAAAAACAATATCCTATAGAAAGAAGTCTTCTTTAATTATTTTCCGGCCACCATGAGATCTAATTCAATCTTCATAGATTTCTCAAGAAATTTTCCTATGTGAACTTCTTTTCCTGGAGAATAAGCAATTTGGACTTGTCATTCGATTCATAACCTTTCAAACACAATCACTATCTATCGAATATTTTATTTTTTAATTTAGTTTTTTTATGTTTTGCTTGTCTTGTTTCGACGATTTGTTCATGTCGCTACGGTGACTGTGGCCCCGCTGCTTGTGATGACTTTACGTGAGGGTTTTGATGCTAAGTATGTCACCTTTATTGTTTTTGTGACATATATGTCTAGTTCTAGTGGTGCGGTTTGTGTGGTAGCCATATAGGGGTTTAAAATCATTTATGTTTTGTGCTAATTATCTTCAGATCAAGAAATTGGTCATTGAAGCATATATACCCATCTAACACCTCTTGTAATTGATTGTTCTTGGTAACGAAACTCTATCGCTTATGTCAAAAAAAAAAAAAAACCAAACAAGCAAACAAACAAACTAATTATTGACTTTGTGTGTTCATGACATGCAAAATATATTGCTTCACCTAATGATTTATACCTGTGGACATGCAATTCGCGGGTAACGCATATAAACATCGCATTTGAAGGGTTATATTGAAGGGTTTCGAATCTTAAATATAGTCTACTTCTATTCATCACCAAACCTATTCTCAGCACTAAACGAACCGCAATGGCTTGAATGAACCTTTAATCAACTAGCTAGCTAGAAATATTTATTCATTTCGAAGCCGAGAGTCTAATATGAATACAAGTTATATATCCAATTGCTTGCAGCATTTACATATTTTATACAATTGTGACTTGAAAAATAATGAAGTTGGTTTGCTAGACAGTTCTTTCATTAATGCTTTCTGGCTGGGTATTTGTTATCGGTAGTGACATACTCTGCTTTAATTAGGAAATTAGGAATCGACCTTTTGTCAGGCGTCATGGATGAACTCATCTTTGCCTTTGGTTATTGCATGCCCTAGCAGGTTTTTCATTGTGGTTTTTTTTTTTGCCCGTATTATATGATTTTTACAAGAATCGGGAGTTTTTACAACACTTATGTGATGGACAATAACACTTCATGGTTAATTATGTCTGCATGATGAGAGGTAATAAAGCTTGATGAGCACTTTATCTGATTGATGCGCACTTTATGTAGCTAACCCTTGATTTCAAGCCGTTAATTATAAAACTTTTGAAATGGAAAACGAGGTCAATCTGGTCTGCATTCTGCACGTAAACTTCTTTTCAAGTTTTATTTTTTGCGGCTCTTTATATCATGATAGGCTAAAAATCAAAGTAGTGGGTTAATCCTAATCCTAAGAGAGAGAGTTCTATAATATTAATTGAACCTTGTAAGTATATCATGCGACTCTGAATTTCTCTGATAGTGTCCGCGCATAAAGTCTACAAAGCTAAATCCCTTTACTTACTAATATGCATACGACATTAGAAGATGGATATTCAGATTGCAGATTATTCATGTATTTACTAGCTGTAATCTTAACAAAAACCAGGCCAATTTTGTAAACTGAAGATAGAAAACCAAAATTTTTCCAAACTTCACTACAAATATAAGGAATTTAACTCCTAATTTTGGTGGAATTAGAGTCTTTGGAGGAAATGGTAATATTTTGATTCCTGAGTATATGTACTGCTAATTTCTTACTGTGAAAGATCTTCTTACTTATATTTTCTGGTCAGAAAGGAAAGAAAGGTTTCCTGGGTAGATTTTTTTATACATTTATCTTTACGCGGCCTCTTATGATATCGATCTCATATAATTGCAGATTTCAAGTGATATTTATATACATCCTAGTTTGTGAAAAACCATAGAAAACCCCCAAAAATGGACAGAAGAACGTCACCGTTTGTCATACGAACATCATGAAGCCGAGTTCTACGGAGGAGTTTTGCACTCAATGATAGAGACTAGCAATTAACGGATTTTCTGTACTGGCGATTATTATTCTTGATGAATTGACCTAACTAAACTCTCTATTTGAATCTTCAATTTTGGGTGGTAGAATATAATATTTCTGGGTGGATTGGTCAACGACTGTGTGCGGGTTTTGCATTATTCAATTTCTTGACAATGATACCCCATCTTCCTCTGGTGTAATTATAAGATCGTATTTTTCTAATTTGCGTAGACAATAATAATAATACTCGTACATTAACTGTACACAAATTAGAGATCTGAATCCGGATTGTGCTTCCTAATTATAATATGTACTAAGTTTACCAACTAATAATTAGTGTGGTGGAGATAATCCTAAACCAATCGAACATATATATATATATACAATTTATTTTGAGTGGGAGGAAAGATTCGAACTTAGGGTTACCAATCCCTTTAATATTAGACAGAAATATTTTTACACCAAAGATAAGATAATTTATGTATGCACTTCTTGAAAAAAGTTGAGGTTTCCTTTAAAACTAAATAAGAATATGGGAAGTAGTCTAATTTACTTATAAACTCATGCAAGGTCCCTCACTTCATCAACGTGAGACTTATTCTTAACACGCCCATCACAGGTAGCGAATTTTTAAGCCAAACACGTAGACAATATACTACCAAGTGACATGGAGCATGTGACATTTTTTAGCCAAACATATAGACACAAAGTTGATGGACTCATATCTGTTGGGCCTCACACATAGGACAACTTGCTTTGATACGATAAAAAAAAAAATTGAGATTCCACTATAAAATCAATTAGAGTTTTTGCTTATAAATTTATGCAAAGTCCGTTATTCTATCAATATAGAATTCATTTTCAACGCTTCTCTACTAAGAGATGTCGTTTACTATGTTTCATGTATATATGAAAGATGGTCTACCAAATAAAGTACAGGTATAATACATTGCAAAGCTTAATTCAATTATACAAGTTACTTATGGTCTAATTATCCAAGTAATGTAACACAGAATGTCAATGTGAACTGAGACGCATAAGATGGTCAAATATTCCATACAACTCGCCATCTTTTGTCTGCCAAGGCGGCGCTTAAAGCCTTAAAGCGCACCAACCAGAATTCCCATTTCTTTTTGGAGTTATGCCAAACCTGGTCAAAACTCAAAAGTACATTTTTTAGTTTGTATTTACTCGTGCATATATTCGTTTAAGGAGAAATTTAGTTCACATTTTTTTTTGCTACTCTATTGATTAAAATCTTATTTATTTTCAATTTTTGATCAAGCTCCTTGGGTAGTAATAACATTATTAATTATTTGAATAATAAAATATTTTTATTTTTAAATATAATCCTTTAGTGTTAAAAATGTTACAATTAATATATTTATATTTATGGCTAAATTTTTTATCATATATTTTTATTTTTAGTTTGTACCTATTTTTAATTTGCACCCATATATTAGTTTCTTTTTGTGTCCATATTTTTTAAAGTTTTATTTGTATTTGTACCCATGTGTAAACCGTTATGTGATATTGTATATTTAATCAATGATAGAAAAATTACATATGGTATATTTATGTTTTATGCCTAAACTTTGTATCATATATTTATATTTTTAGTTTGTACCCACTTTTAATTTGCAACATTTTTTTTAAATTTGTAGTATTTTATTTTTAGTTTTATTTTGTACCCATGTATTAATTTATGTTAGCACCTATATTTTTAAAAATTCATTTGTACTCATAATTTTTTAATCTTTTCTCTGTACTCTAATTTATTTATAATGTACCCATTCTTCTTTATTAATGTACCACTTTGTTATATGTGAAATGTACCAATTTTTTTGTAAAATGTACCAATTTTTTTAACGGATACATTTTTTTGCCATTTATTATTTCTTATTTTTACATAGTTTTTATCCATTTATTCAATCAAAATGTTTGAATTTTTTTATGGTAACCGTTTCTAATATTATTATAATGAGGGATTTTAAATTTATAGGATTATAAATCTCATAAAATATTAAACAATTAATGTCAAAACTATAAAAATATAAATATTAATTGTAATATAATGAGGTGTACAAAGTCAAGGGACTGTGATTAAACTTTGTATACCATTAAGGTTTTAGTCAAAGAATGTTAAGGATTAAGGACCGCATCCAAAGTATCCCTTCATTTAATCAACTCTATATATCCGCGTCCAGAAGACTTTGAAATCTCCGTAGAAATAAAATTCTCCGCCTACTAATCAAGTATTTTGAGTTATCATGCATGCATGAAGTGGAGAGCTTAGCACTATCACCATCACCTTATCCACTGGCTCCAACTTGATTAAACTTTTGATTTCTTGCGCCAAAAGCATTGCAGCGTTAACTGCATTTAGCTTGAGGAAAAGTAAACGCGTCCATATGCATGCAACGCGTTAATAACATAGCAAGAGGGCCTGCTGGTTTGGCACCACTCGAGCCGACGAGCACTATAAATTTAACTCCCTAACGGAATAATCCACAACACCGTCTGCTGCCATTTGCTGCATACAACTCTTTCACATATCAAAGCAAATTACATTCTCATTGCTCATCAACATTACTGTTACAAGATGAAGATTGAAGTAATTGAGAAAGCTTGCATTAAGCCTTCTATGCCAACCCCACCCCACCTTCGTAAACACGAGTTTTCTTTTCTCGACCAAATCGCCACTCCCATTTTCATGCCTATGATCCTTTTCTACAATAATGATCATGGCAATGACGCCATAACATACTCAGACAAGGTAAAACAATCCTTATCTAAGACCCTGACACAATATTATCCATTGGCTGGACGTGTCATTGAAAATGCCTACGTCAATTGCAATGACCAAGGTGCCCCTTACGTCCAAGCCCGAGTTAGGTCCCCGCTTTCTGATGTCATATCCCAACCCGACCCAAACCAACTCAACCAACTACTCCCATGCAAACTAGACAATGTCGGTGACTTGGTTCTTGCTGTCCAAGTCAACGTGTTCGATTGTGGTGGCATGGCTATTGGAATTTGCATTTCTCACAAAGTTGCTGATGCATTGTCACTCATCATGTTCCTCAACAGTTGGGCATCGATATCTCGTGGGGATTGCAACATTAAAAATAGTACAGTCAGTCCTCCAATTTTTGATTTGGCCACGCACTTTCCACCTAGAAGCATATCAGGGTTCAAACCAAGCACTGGGATCACTAGAGAAAAAATTGTTACAAAAAGGTTTGTTTTCAGTGCTTCCACGGTTGCTTCTCTTAGGTCAAAATATACAGATAATAAAACCAATGAGAGAAAGCCAACTCGGATTGAGGCCTTGTCAGCATTTATATGGGCCCGGGTTATTGCCTCCACTCAAGGAAAGCCGAACCCTAACACTCTTTACAAAGTGCTTCACGCCGTTAACTTACGGACGAGGATGGATCCACCACTGCCCGAATACCATTTCGGGAACGTGAGCCGGTTTGCGATGTCATCGCCGTCGTTTGATGAGGGAGAGGATATGTGTTACGGGATGGTGGGCCAGATGAGGGAAGCAATAAAGACAATCGATGGTGATTACATGGCCAAAATCAAAGACGGCAACGCGCACTTGAAGTTTTTGAAGCAGCGAGCGGAGGAGTTTATGAAGGGTGAAGTGGCGTCGTTTAGCTTTACCAGCTTGTGCAGGTTCCCACTTTATGAAACGGACTTCGGGTGGGGCAAGCCAGTGTGGGTCGCGTCGGCCAGCCTTACATTTAAGAACCTGGTTGTTTTCATGGATGCTGGGTCGAGTGGTGGGATTGAAGTGTGGGTGAATTTGAAGGAGGAAGACATGGCTAAGTTCCAAGATGATGAGCAACTGCTGGCATGTAGTTATCCAGCCCAAGAGGCTAAGGTTTAGTACCTGCTCGGATATTTGGATTATGTTGCTAAATTTTTTGTATTTTAGTTTCTTACTAATTCGTTTTGTATAATACCAAACATTTGGATTGAATAAGCTGTTCATCGAGAACAAAGTCTGTTTGCAGAAAAATAATTAAGGGTTGAATTATTTACTTTGTCCTTATTTACAGTCTAATACTTATCTTAAGGCATTCCCCTAAGCGTTTCAAGGCAATTAGCCTATTGCTCTGCGAAAGGTGATATGCAGGTACATCTTATTTTTGTTGTGTAGAAAAGATGCTTCATTCAAAAGGAAACGCCACGCTAATTAAGAATTTAGGATATTGGAATGATGCTTTCATTCAACGTTTAAAGACACATGTGGGTGGAGAAAGTATTGTATGATATTGGGATACCCCAATATGGGGTACAGTTTTTTCTTTGCTGAACAACACAGAAAACACAAAAATCCAACACAACTACAAGGAGGGATGACTGCGTTGGCACACCCCTAATTCGAATGATAGAAAAGAAGGGCATTGTAACTGCTGGGGCACTAAAAGATCAAACTCCCACCCTAATTTTTTTTTATTTTTTAACAAACGATATTATCTATTCAGGGAATGGTTGAGCTTAGTCTCACAATGAGCTAACAATAATGTGGTTCAAATTCACTTTTGACGAGAATTGGACCTAAGATCTCTTACTTACAATTGAAGAGGAATACCACTAGACCGTAGTACTAAGTGACTCCGTTTGGGCCCAAAATAACACTTTGGGCCAAGCCTGGAGTTACTCTCGGTCCAATGAGTATCGAGAATATTCTTTGTGACGCGCCCGACCCTGATATTTCCCGAACACCAGGGTAGGCATGTGCTGGCCAACACCCGAAGGTGACGAAGCCATATTAGGATGCATGAGAAATAATAAATAAGAATATAGTTATGAATTTAAATACAATGATTAAGCAAAAGAGGAATGTGTTCAGAGTATACAGCTAATTCGAGACACTAGAAAGGAAATAATATAAAATTAAATGAACAAGGAAATTGGTCCTACACCGAGAGGACTCGAAAATGCCGATGCGAAAATGTCTTGATGCCGGGATTGTATGCCTCGATTCTAAATCATAAGGGGGCGCAAAACAAACATGAGTGGACCAAGTTGATATATATATATATATATAATACTGAAATAGTTATCAACATACTAACCCCCAAAGTTTAATGAAAACTAATAGCATAATAGGTGATAGATTTGCCGAAAACCCTAGCTTGCCATAAAACAATGTATACTTTATAAAGATATAAAGTCGAAAACATAAAACAATGTAAGGTCGAAAGTATGTACGTAGAATATGATAATGTCAAAATAGATAAGTAATAACATATATGACACACCCCGACCCGAAATGTCCACTAGAACTCCGAATCGAGTTGTGCTAGCCAACACCTGGAAGGTGACGAAACCATAAAGTATAGTGATGTGGAAAATGTGAATAAATTTAAACCTAAAAGTACCTAAAGACAAAAGTGCGCTGTGAGCGGAAATGAGCCCATTTCACAAATGACGTCAGAGCATAAGTGAAGTACAGTAGTGCACCCTCAGAGGTAGCCACATATACTGAGATTTGCCAAGAATCCTCGTCGATAAAAACTTTCAGCAGCTAAAACCTGGAGGGGCACAAAAATAAGGGTAAGTGGGCTTGAAAATAAAGTTTTTAATAAAAACCTTTTGAAAACGTTATAATCCCTCACCGTAAAACCCGTATAATTTCCCAGAAAATAGTAATACATATGTATATAGAAATCATGCTCGAGAGTAATGAAAACTAAATATATGCCATGTCAAATATCTGCAATGAAATAAGTAAACCAGGTGAAATAAATCAATGTAAAATGATATGTCAGCCGGAGTCACCTAACGCGACCTGTACGGCTGAACCTATAGCTCATTAACCAATTCCTGCACATGAGTCGGAACCACCTAATGCGGTTTGTACGACATGCTGGGTGTAAATAAGTACACTTAAATGCTATGATCACGTGAAGGTTGTGCGAAATATCACAAGTCACTTACGAGTCGGAACCACCTAATGTAGTCTGTGCGACAGGTTGACACCTGCCTTGGATCCAAGTGAGCGTGTGATGCGGGAGGTGAACGATCACGTGAAGGTTGGCCCTGGCCTCGGGCGGAACACTAACACCGGGGTGCAGGATAATGAGCACTAAATGCATTCAAACATAACCATACACTCTGCAATCACTATCATCAATATGTACTTACCTGAAGCTTACCTGGGTGTCCGCAGTGTCATGCAATAATATGCATATCTATACTAATGCAAATACTAAAATGTAATGCAATTGACATGACATTTAAAAACATAAATCCATTTAAAACAATTTCTGGGAAAATATAAAACAAATATATGTATATATATAGAAAACCAAAAGCCCACTCACTTGGAGTATGCGCTACAACTCCCTAGCACAAACATCAAGGTGTCACGAACGATCGGTGCTTGTGACTAAGACCAATTTGGTCGGGAAAGGCTCCAATTTAACTCAAACTCGCCCGAACCCTAGAAAGGGTGAGCTTTAATTCTCATTCCTCAATGTTTTGCCACCCCTAAAACTGATTAGGCTTTGTTCCAGGGCTCAAGGGGAGTCTACTAGTGGTGGTGGTCGAAGGAATCACCTTCGGGAATGATGGATCGCCGCCTAAGACTGCTGGACCTCCCCATTCGGTTCTTCATCTTTGGGGTGGAATTGGTAGAATGAGGGTCAATGAGTGGTGAGGTAGGGATGGATTACTGCTATTTGCCGGAAAGATGACGGAAAACCACCGGAATTAGCCCCGGGTTAAAACCAGGTCGTGCAGGTTGGCTAGGTATAACCGGATTAAGGTGATCTGGTGCATTCCCTTTCTTTCCTTTCCCCTCTTTTCTTCTCTCCCCCATTGGTACTTCCATTTTCACTTTCTTCCTCCTTCGCCGGTTCCCCACTCATTTCTCTCCTTTATATTTCATCTTCACCACCTAACTTTTCTTTCCTTAAATCTGGGCCACACACGTGGCTGTCCATATTAAGCTCCAAAAATTTGGAGCTTTCTAGAAAATAACCAATTTACTAAAATACCCCCGACTTTAAACGTTAATATCTCATTCGTTATAACTCCAAATCACGATCCATTTGTGCCCACGCGTCCGTTACGACGAGTACTACGGGGATACGCCAAGAAAATGAATCTTACGTAACTCGACAAGGCAGTAAACAAAAGTCAACATATTTACCTTGAAGGGTATTTTTGTAAATTCACTCTATAAAATCGTAATAATTAGGGACGGGTTGTTACAATATAGGCTGAAAACTTCGTACTGAACTCAACAGTGAAAGTAGAAATGACTCGACTGAACATTTGTAACGTCTGAAAACAAATATATAACTATAATAAGGTAATTTTAAATACTTGTCCTGAAAACCAAAACCAAAAATGAAAGTGGGTCTCGCCCAAGTATTCGAAATGCCACGTACTCCGAGAACAGATGTGTCCTTGGGTCGAGCCCTAAGAATAGCAAATCCGTAACAATTGTCGTAGACGGGTCTTCCTACCTACTTGCTTAATGAACCCAACGAATAAGTTATCGATACAACAGTCGACCGCCCGTGATATTGACAACACATTGTTGTTTGTAGCAATTTCCCAAGAATGTACCACTTTACCCATCAACGTGAAAGTGTGCGTAGAGTGTCCAATTCTCACCTCGATTGCGTTTTCGTACCTTTCCATAGCGCACCAATCAGATCTGCTAGAAGTGTTTTAATATCCATGTACTAACGAATAATAAGGTCTTGAAGTAAATAAGTGGAAGAATGCGTTGAGATGAACACATATCGTTGGAAAGGAATTACTAGAGTACAATATGATGCCTATGAATTGTAGCAAGATAATAAGATGTGACTGTTCATTTATATGTGAAGATAGTGATTGGTGATGCAATCTACTGACCACCTACACTACAACCTTTATCAATCTCTTACTACAAGACGGCTCAAACCTCAAGGCCATATGAAACTCTTCTTAATAAGTCTAGTAGGCTCACGAGAAGGTTATACTCCAAATATTTTTGCTAACATCTATTTGAAACTGGGCGCACGCATCCGTCGAAACACCATGTTAATATAACTTGTCAATCAACTTCGTCCGATAACTCATGAAATAATTTGACGTTTTGAACCTTTTGACAAATTTATATGATTTCAGTAAATTCAGTTTTTTCGCTTTTCCAGTCCAATACGATCTCACTGGATAATTGTCCAATTAGGTTCGGATGATCAAAATGAGCTTTGGGTGAAAAGTAGTAAGACACATTAGTACGACAGTATGATCCAGTTTTACGTTGAGAAACAAACAAGCAAAGGAAGGTGAAGATGCATAAATAAAAGTCACTGTTTATGATTATTTTGTTAATCATCGCATTATACAACTGCGTTACTTTGCTGATCTACCGTGCCTCAAAGTCGGGAAGCCAAGACGTATTACCTATATCCCTTTGAGCTTTATGTGTGTCTTTCTACTAAAGTGTTCAGCAACTACGCTTACATAATTGGAATGGTACACGATGGTGCAGTAATATACATTTATATACTCTAGACAAAAACAACGTTCGCAGAATTTGACGTACAGCTGACAATCGAGGTTTAGTGAACTTGACTTCGTGATTGGAGTAAGAAAGAATGTTATCAATAGAACAATCGTCGAGAATTTTTCTAAAGATCCACATGAATTTCCTCAGCAGGAACAAGTCCAAGAACATTGATTCGATCTCACTAATTACCACGTACTAAACTTCATAACAACTAGCGTTTACTCGCTTTCTCCCACACGAACTTCGAATGTTTCGAATAATTCCAAGAGATATGTCTCTGTTCGCCATTCCTAGGGAATGCATGTCGCAGAGTAACATCCCCGTTTCAAATTTCCAGTTGGTCTTAACCGACTCGTACCACTAAGATTTTTCTGTTTCCTAACACTCATATGTATATCCAACTCTACCCGCAATTCCTAGGGAACATATATTGCTGAGTGGCATCGCCAGTTCGGATCTTTAGTTAGTCTCAACCAGACTCCCTCAAATTAAGGTTTCTAATTCACATCACTTTAATG